GTGTGTGTGTGTGTGTGTGTGTGTGTGTGTGTGTGTGTGTGTGTGTGTGTAGTATTATAAAACTTCACTGCTTATTCGACCATCTAAATGTGTTTTCTGTCTTCTAGTTGGAGGAGATGACGATGAGAGCAGACGAGACGGAGAAGGGGATGATGGGAGGAGAGTGATGGAGATGGACCTGGTGGAGGCCAGCGTTTCCACGGCAGCAGCATCCGCTCTGTCCTCTGCAGCCTCAAAGGCAAAGGTAGTGCCAACTCTCTCATTGACAAAACACGTACAAAATTATAGAAAAAAAAAAGACATTTAATTTAGGAAGAGACCCAGTCTTAGAGGCAGTGATGCTCTGATTCACCTTTTTTTTAACTTGCGATTTGATACCTACATTTGGATATCGGACGATACCTTTTCAACACCATTATTATTGTTATTACTATTATTGATTTTATATAACTTAAAATGCAAATATGAACAGTAATATTCATAAATATGTGTAAAAATTTAGCAAACCATCATCCTCCACCTTAAACAAAAGCTGYAGTTTCACGTTCAAAAATCGCCTTGTTTTAGCTCAAAGACACTAAACCACACCTKAATAATAAAACAGGCTAAATATYACAAATTTCTTAAATCTCATCACTCACTCCTGCTCTTGACTTTTGTTTTAGTTCTCACTCTCTCCTAAAGCAGATTCCTCCAATTTTGCCTCTTTTCTTTCCCGCTCTTGTAGCATTTAGCAGCAGTAGAAGAGAGGAAGATCAAATCCCTGGTGGCTCTGCTGGTGGAGACCCAGATGAAGAAATTAGAGATCAAACTGAGACACTTTGAAGAACTGGAGACCATCATGGACCGAGAGAAAGAAGCTGTGCGTTAAAAAACAAAAAATAAAAAGTCTTACGTAGCGTTTTATGTGCCTGCAGGGTAAACTGTTATTCTGCAGGAGCAGCTGTATCAAATCAAGCGTTTTGTAACAATATRTTGTGCCATAGTTGGAGCAGCAGCGGCAGCAACTGCTGGCAGAGAGGCAGACGTTTCACACGGAGCAGCTGAAGCAGGCAGAGATGAAGGTTCRCCAGCAGAGGGAGCAGCAGGGCCAGCTGGGTTACAGCACGCAGCATTCAGGTCAGGCCACTTCCTCTTTGTACGCCTACACACATTCGCCATTATGTCGTGACGTGTTCGTCCTGCCTTCTTCAGGTCAGTCCGTGCCCAACAGAATGATGCCCGGCGGAGGAAACGCCCAAACGATGGCCCCGCGACATCCTGGAGCTCCCAACGGAATGTGTGAGTGACTTTCTACCGTTTCCCCACGGTTAGCATGTTGTTAAGTTTTAGTCCGAGCTCGTGAGTCCTTTTCTATCCTGTCTCAGACCCGTCCTCACAGCCCGATGGGATAGCCTCTGCTCAGACCGCTCCTCCATCGTCCAGTCACAGCTGAAGCCACATCCAGAACAAGACAGGAAAARGGAAACACATCTGCCTAAAGGACAAATTCTTCACTCAAGAGTTCAGGAACAACTGCTTCAAACTGGACTCACTCTTCAGTCGTCACTTGAACGTAAACACAGTTGATGTGTTTGCTCAGCAGCTGAGTTCGTCTTGAATCTGTGAATTGATGCTCTGATGTCAAGAAACAAGGAATGTGAACTTTACTCAATAAAGTGTCTTTTTGTATGAATCTGAAAATGGCTTTATTTACATCCATATTTCCCAATTTAAAGAAGACCTCATGCTTTTAAATCCACAAAAATGTCCAATTTTACAGGTGTTGACCTACAGTTTAGTACGATTGTAGCGGAATCATCCTCAACAAGCGCTTTAAGCTAGCCTGGTTAAAACCAGACCTTGTCCTTCACTTTGCTTCGTACAAGGGAGTGTATAAGAGCGGAGTTGTGTAGGAAGGCTAGGTCTAAGCGCAAACATTTTGCTTTTAAACTTTTGCATACAAAGTTGATGAGCATTCTTTGAAAAAAAAAAACGGTAGCTTCATTTATGATAGTGAATTAAAGTGAAAAGATGACAAATTTCGTTACGTTGAGTAGTGACTGCTGGTTTCAATCAGTATCAGCTGTGATGTTAAAAAATTGGTCTTAAACAGAAGGTTGTTTTCTAACTCATTGCAATTTTTTTAATAATATATGCCAACGTAATAACTCGTTATCAGAGTTGTAAAGTAAGAACAAATACTTTGTTACTGTACTTTAGGAATTTTGGTTATCTGCACTTTACTCGAATAATTATTTTTCAGCGTACTTTTTACTTTTACTCATAACATTTTTACAATTATCTGTACTTTCTACTCACTACATTTTTTAAAAAGGTAAGAAGTAGAAAGTCGTTACTCCTATTTTATTTCGAGTTATTACTTTAAAAAATACTATCCTGATAAATTGTGTCTCCAGGATAGAGTAATTTAATTGTGGTTGGATGAGAAGTATAAATATATACCATTCTGACATCCTGTAACTTGTACACAACCCATCACAGCTGCACGCTGTTAGAAAAAATATTTTTTGGAGA